AAGATTCGCAACATGCGGGAAATTACAGAAACTCAGCGATTTTGGGGAATCATGTTTCCCAACTATGGCGCAGGCTTGGCCATGTCTGAAATAAAGAAAGTTGCAGCAATCCTAGAGAAGATAGCTAATGCTACTGCTATTGGTCTTCACGAAATAAATAATGAAATGAAGGAAATAAGACAGATGACTTTACAAAACAGACTTGCTTTAGATTACACATTAGCCAGCAAAGGAGGAGTCTGTGCTTTAATTGGTAAAGAATGCTGTACTTACATCCCTGATAATTCCAAAAAAATACAAGATTTGGCTGAACATATTCAAAAGGAAGCAGTCAAGTTACATGAGCCAGACAATTGGAATTTAAGTTCATGGTTTAGGTCCCTTTTTGGCTCCTTAGGATCCACCATTATTCATGGATTATTGATATTTTTTATTATTATCATCCTGATATGTGTAATTTTCATGCTCGTACACTGTTGTCTAAGCTACATATCTAAGCAAACCCAACCAGGGAATGGATTAATGTTCCTGCAAATATCTGAACAAAATCAGCAGAAGGAAAATGAAAGAAAACACACCACAGAAACTAAAATGATGGTACTAAAAAGATGTGAGCAGATTGAAAGAAGATATAGAAAGATGCAAGATGAAATAGAGAGACTCATGGGAATAGAAATAGAATAAGATGAGACTTGTAAGTCTCAAAGGGGGGAAATGTGGAAGCAAAGGATGGCTAAGGCCTCAAGGGGGGAGAGAGAAATTCCTTAGATAAGAGGAAGATGACCATTAAACTGTCTTGAAGGACACAAGACAGATAGCCCCAAGGCGGGAAAAGTTAGTTTAGGCAACCCTTTGTCTTGAATCTATAAAAGGTTAATTGCCCTGGATGTAAAGTAGAGAGGTAACAGCAGAAATCTTCCTGTAAGGGTCTCTCTCCGATAGCTATCGAAATAAAGTTTCCACCTGACCTGATTCCAAATTCTACAGCGTGTTTTTTCCACGACAGCCCTAACCTATTCTTTCACCACTGAGCTTAGCTTCTCCCTAACGTGCTGCCCAGTGCAGTAGTCTGGGTGTTGACATTGCCTGTGAAGACAGAGGTGAAAAAGGCATTGAACACTTCAGCCTTTTCTGCATCCCTTTACTAGGTTGCCTCCCCTATTCAGTAAGGGACCCATACTTATAATCATCATCTTTCCCCCCTCCTACCTCTACCCCATGCAGGAGGTTGCAGTAACAATCCATCTTTCACCTCCTGTTAGACTCAGTGGACCACGGGAGACAGCTACAGCGTGGCATAGGTGAAGCACCCAGCCACTGAGCAGCAAGAGCAGCATGGGCAAAGCCCCCTGCCACAAAAGCCCTGCTTCATGAACTGGATTCAGTGGCTCCAGAGGCTGCTGACCCTGCTGTAGGGTGGTCCAGGGAGGTCAAGACTGGGCCCATATTAACAGCTCAAACCCATTGAGCTGTGTCTTTTCCACATGCCCAGCACGCACAGTCCTGCAGAAGGACTCCGCAGCATGGAGCGGCACCAGATATCAGTGCATTGCCTGTGTACCCATGCTCCCATACAGAAACAGCTTCCATGAGTGTGAGCAAACAACAACTGTGCACCAGAATGAATGCACATCAGGACTACCCAACTACCCATGGGGGCATATTTCTCACAAGAAAACCACTCTCCAATCTCTCAATATTAATCCTCAAAGGGAATTCACAAAACACTTTTCACAGATGAACCTATGAGCCTCACTTTTTGGATACAAAAAATCATGGACTAAATATAGATTTTGGATTTATGACACATTATAACCTGCCTGACATCTGATTTCCCAGGCACCTCTCCACTGTTTACCAGCTACATTCATTCCCCCCACACCAGCCTGCCTCTCACCCACTGACTCTTAAATTAACATCTAACCGACTGGCTTCCTTGCTGCAGCCCAGCCTCTGGCCTCATTACTATTCTTTCTACCCAGGAAGGGGGCACACACCAACTGCAGATGCTTCCTTAACCTCATGAAGGGTATTTATACCCAAAAGCTTGCTAAGAAGATTTTTTCCAACTATTAGTATCAATCTAATAAAAGATATCAGATTTACCCAAAGAACCTTCTCTGTCTATGTCCTTAGGCCAACATGGCTACAACCTATGCCTCCAAATTCCCTCTGACACTAAAGCTTCCTGGCATCAGTCTAGTAGCCTGCAGTGGCCTTAGAAGAGGCAAGTTCCCACTTGTTTTAATCCCTTGATCCTGAGGAACAACTGTTTTCTCTCACCTGCCAGTAATTTGAGTCGGTCCTTTCAATCCATGGCCAAACTGTTAATGAATTACTGGAAACAGCTGCAAGCCACCTGCTCTGCCCAGCTCACACTGCTCACTGCAGCCACTCTCTTTAGGAAAGGCAGAGTCTGATGCCCAAGTCCAGGCTGTAAACCCTAATCTGAAACCAGCACCTCCCTGCAGCCCAGAGTCTGATCCCCTCCACACTCCCTGCCCCCAGGGACGGAAAGGGAGAGTCTGCGCTCTCCCTGCTCTGAGACAGGAAAGGGGGCTGGCAGGAGGGGCAACAGTTGGCAGAAAGCAGTTAGACCACAACATCTGCTTGATCTATGTGACCGGAAAGGGCTTTTAGGGGAAATTATCTTTTGTTGCACCAGCTCCCTAGTTCACAGAGATCCGGACTGTCTTTTAGATAAAGCACGTTTCCCCAGGTCTGGAAAAGAAGCAGGAGCAGCTTGAGCTAAGCGTGAGATAGAAGAGAGGCCTGTGCAGACCTCCACATGCAGACAGAAACCGAGTCTGCTTGGAGGAAAGAAGCAGGGCTGTAATATATGAGAGGAGAGACGTTATCAGCCATCTAACTGTGGCAGGCTCATTGCTACCAGGGTGTCTGTGACACCCCCACAGCGGCCCTGTCACTCTTGCCTGGCTCAAGCTCTAATGCCACCCTCCCTGCATTACTCCTCTGCCATGCCTTGTTCTTAAATATTATAGCTTGATTCAGGGAAGCTGCCAACAGGCCTTAGAGAGAGGCCTAGTCCCAATAAGTTCCCTCTGGGTCTCTCCCAAGACCCCACTGCCCTCAAACCAGCCCTCAGGCTTGATAAGTCCCTCTCAGCCAGACTAGGTCCCTATAGGATACCAAGAGCCTTAAGGGCAAGTTGTGTGGCTCCTTCACCTCCCCTGTACTTCACCCTAAGCCTCACAGATGTTCCCTTTGATCTTTCTCTTTATACACTCAAATACCTTTGGGCCCTCAGACCCCTGGTTCCTTACTCATAGTTTCATAGTTTCATAGTAGGTAGGGTCAGAAGGGACCTGAGAAGATCATCAAGTCCGACCCCCGGCCATGGCAGGAAAGAGTACTGGGGTCAAACGACCCCAGTGAGGTGTTCATCCAGCCTCCTCTTAAAGACCCCCAGGCTAGGAGCCAGCACCACATCCCTTGGAAGTTGGTTCCAGATCCTAGCCGCCCTGACAGTGAAGTAGCGCCTCCTGATGTCTAGCCTGAATCTGCTCTCAGTCAACTTATAGCCGTTATTCCTTGTTACTTCCGGTAGTGCTCAGGGGAACAGGGACTCCCCCAATGCCTGCTGGTCTCCCTTTGCCAGTTTATAGATGGCCACCAGATCCCCCTCAGCCTTCTCTTGTGGAGGCTGAACAGGTTCAGGTCCCATAGCCTCTCCTCGTAGGGCCTGCCCTGCTGCCCCCTGATCATGAGGGTGGCCTCCTCTGGACCCTCTCCATGTTGTCCACATCCCCCCTGAAGTGCGGCGCCCAGAACTGGACACAGTACTCCAGCTGCGGCCTAACCAGTGTCGCATAGAGGGGGAGGATCACCTCCTTGGGCCTGCTCGAGATGCATCTGTGGATGCATGACAAGGTGTGGTTGGCCTTCCTGACCGCGTCCCCACACTGTCGGCCCATGTTCATTTTGGCATCAATAATGACTCTAAAATCCTTTCCTGTCTCCGCACTGACGAGAAGGGAGTTCCCCAGCCTGTAGGTCTGCTGCTGGTTCTTCCTCCGCAGGTGCAGCACCTTGCACTTGTCAGTGTTGAAACCCATCCTGTTCTCATCTGCCCACCCCTGTAACCTGTCTAGGTCTAATTGCGGCCTACTCCTCCCTTCTAGCGTGCCCACTTCCCCCCACATCTTACTGTCATCTGCGAATTTGAACAAGGTGCTTTTCACCCCCTTGTCCAAGTTGCTGATGAAGATGTTGAACAGTGTGGGCCCGAGGGGGACCCCACTGTCCACATCCATCCAGGTCAAAAATGTGCAGCCCTCCAGCCAGTTAGTGACCCATTTGACTGTGTAGGTGTCGATGCCACAGTCCCCTAGTTTTTTAATGAGAATGGGGTGAGAGACAATGCTGAAGGCCTTCCTAAAGTCCAGACAGACTACGTCCACTGCTACCCCTGCGTCCAAGGATTTTGTGACCTGGTCATAGAAGGCCACCGGGTTGGTCTGACAGGACCTGCCTCCAATGAACCCGTGTTGGGTCTGAGTCTCTCTCAGACTTGTGGGACCCCCAGTCCCACACACAACCCCTCCTTCAGGCTCCCAGATCCTCTGGTCTGGCTTGGCCTGCTCTGGGCTTGTGGACCCTCTGGCCCAGCTCCACCTTTCCCAGGCTTTTGGGCCTTTGAGTTTGGGTCTCAGTCTTTCTAGGCTCCCGGGCTCCTCACTGGGACCCAGTCTCAGTCCGAGGCTCCTAGGTTCCCATACTTGACATACCCCTGGTGCCTGCCCCAGCAGGGCTCAAAGCTAAACAACCAGCCTAGCTTAAACAAACTAGAAACATCACCACCCTTTGGCAGGCACCTCTCCCTGATAGGGTAGGGGTTTAACATAAACAGGCCGCTCATCTGTAAAACCAGTCTTTCTTAGCCCAGGGACTTGCCTCAGTTCCCAGACCTGGCCAGCAATATCCAGTCCCTTCAGGAGCCCTGCAGCCACGACACCTCTTGGCTGCTGGGGAGACATTACCTGACCAGCGCAGGCTTTGGGTTCGTGTAGTTCCAGCCTGAGCCCTCTTCCTCTCCGGTGAGTCCCTCTTAGCTCCCTCTGCCACCTGCAAGAGACTGCTTGCTTCCTAACACAAAAGAGAAACATGGCAGAAAGGTAGCCTGCCTATTGTTTCCTGTGAGAAGTTTACAAAACAAAAGAGGAGAGCAGAGCAACATTTTTACAGCTCCCTCTCTGCACGTATCAACTACCTACAACATCAAATGCGATTCATGGGATTCCCAGCACATCCCAAGTGACTGCCGCATCAGCCATGCTTACTCTTGCAGCTGCTTTGCATGTCTGTAAATGAGTTGCATGGATTGGACCCAGTCTTTGCATCTGATTCATTTCTCTGGGCCTCTTCACCTTGTACACTTCATAAATCTGCTGGATACAAAAAGCACGGACTAAATATACACAGTGGGTTTATGGCACATTATCACCTGCCTGCCATCACCTCTCTACATGTTACCAGCTGCACCCTGGCACCAGGTCGCCCTTCCTCTCCCCCCACCCATCTGTCTCAGACCTGTTGTCTCCCATCGCCTCTGATCCTCACTGCTGTGCATCTGCATTTTGACAGACCTTCATTTTGCATATTGGCTTTTATTCCATCAAACACCAACAGACTATGCCTATGCCTGAAAAGGGGAGTTTGTGCCCAAAAGCTTTCAAAAACAATTTTTCTAACTATTTATTTGGTTGAATAAAAGATATCATATTTACCCAAAGAACCTTGTCTGTTTATGTCCTTAGACCAACATGGCTATGACCAACACTCTTTGCAAACACACCCCAGAATAGGTTTAAGGGATGCCAAATCCAGCTGCATCCCTCAACAGTGTGAATCTACTCATAAGTAGACAATAAAATTGGAAACCACTCCCAAGAGATTCCTGAATGAGAAAAGAACCAAGAATTGACACATCCCATGATCCTCTTGCAATGACAAATGAGGAACACTGTGTGAGGAGCCTGCCAGGACAGATGCAAGTCCATGTCACTTTGGTCATGGTGTGTCAGACAGGAACATGCAGAGCTGTTTCTTACTCACTCACAGGGGCAGCAACTTGTTGCAGTTCAGGTACCTCCAACTCCTCTCTCTCTGAACCTCACCTACTCTTTCTTCCCCTTGACCTCCCCATTTGCTCTGCAGCAACGCTTCTTTTACCTAAGCCAAAGATCCCAGTAATGCCCAATACTACGGCGGGGTCTGCTCATCGGGGGGGGTTACTACTAGGACCATTGTGACAAGAGATTGGGACCTGCTGAGTTTTGAGGCGCATAAGGGTATCAGCTGAAAGTGCTGATCAGACCCAGCCTGCTCAGACGTACTCAGTAGCATGTGTGTATGTGTGTCTAAGTGCGCTCATTATT